CGTCAGCGTTGCACTTTAAGACAGGGATTGCGCGAATATAATCCTTTTAAACGTTACCTTCGCGAAGTAATCAGAGCTATAAAAAAAATTTAAACAGAAAATGTAAAATAATAGGATAATATAATTTAAAGAAAATTGAAGCATAAAATATACAAAAATATAATTTAAATAGACATATTTATATCTTGAACACATTATATATGAAAATGTAATTAATTGCGGCGCTCTTTATTAATATAATTGAAACATTCAGGATTGACAGCTTCTTGTCGACGCTACAGGAAGACGAGGCAACAGTATCTAGCCTTTTCGCCCCGAGGCCACTTATCCGTAAAATTTCCGGGAGATTCGCGACGATTCGCGGAACGTTGTGCGGAGGCGGCATGGAACGGACACGCCCAGCGTCGCGACGCTTTTATCGATCAACAAGACCACGGCCGAATGTACGCGGACGGCCATTTTACTTTTCTGCCGGCTGATACGAGAGAGGATTGAAGGAGCGGAGTCGCGCGCGAGTAATTCTACGCAATTTTTTTTACCAGGCATACATAATCCGTCGACCTTTCCCCTTTTATTCTACGATCCCTTTATTTCACCTTTTGTTCTCTGGGCAAAAATATTGCCCTTGATAATTAACAGACCAAGCTCAGGTTTTTATCAGTCTACATTCGAATTCGTCATCCGGGTTAATGAATTTTAATCGTCGCGCGTAGCACGTTGTCCTTTTACGTGTGATCCTTATCGTTCACGGAGTACGTATCGGACCTTTAAGTGAGGCTACTGAGAGAATTATAGATTCTCTTACGAGGCGTTATCTCATATTTATGGGAGGTGCCGGGAGCGCGCGACACGGAAACCGCATCTATCGGCTCGCATATTTTTAAATACTAATTCGGTGTATGCGCTTCTCTCTCTTCGTCTTGTCCGCGATTCCTGCGTCGCGCAAGCTATATTTCGGATATTGCGACTACTTCCCTTATCGAATACAAAGCAAGAACGAGCGGCACGTCCGGATCAAAGTAATCGCCGATTCCCCGTTCATGCAAATGACTTAATAAGGAGACCGTGATTATTTGAGAGAGAATCCTGCGTACATGTACGTATACACATTTTATTTTTCCTCTCGACACTCTCTTTCTTTCTTTTACATTACCATTTTATTTTTTTTTTTATTTTTTATTAGACCTACGCAGAAAAAAAATGTCAAATCAAAACTTATATACTTAAACTAACGCGTTCATTGTTTCGTATACATATAGGCAACAATTTATAATCTTTTTAGAAGAATTTAATAATTGTAAATGTCAACAATATTATAGTCTTAAGAATATATAATTACTTAATTCTACTAAGAAAATTCTAATCTTTGATTTAAAAATGTTATTTTCTATCTAACATTGTTTCTTTTCTATTCAAGAAAATTAAATCTTAAATCATAAGAATATATTTTCCTCGATTGAACTATATAAAATGGCTTCATTCAGGTAAGCAGTTATTCAAGCAATTATATTTCTCTTTAATTAACGCAATATAATCTCATTTCAAGATTTTGTTAAAGTAAAATATATTTTCAAAACAAGAATGTCCTTTTTTTCTGCGCACTCGCCTTTGACTTTGTGTGAGGAAAAGATTCAGCATTTTTTTCGCGATGCATTTCGTGACAATAGCGATATAGGAGCTTATCGACGCGAGGCGGAAGTGGCCGTGTTCGCTGGTTCGAAAGGAATAATCGGATTATAGAGGTTCATTGTGAACGTTGACTCGAGAGGGATGAAACCCACGTAGCTATTCGCGTTTCTCGGCGCGACGACGGCTCGTCGAGCCCCCTTTCTACACCGAGCACCCCCGACAATCGAGAGAGATCCGGGTGGGTCCCGAATGAATCTCATTTCCAGGGCTTCGAACGCCGACACGTGACCTTACGCTATTACATTATGTAATATCGGTTCTTTTGCACGCTCCTGTTCGCGGTGTCCTGCGATCTCTGGCGACGGTCCTGCCAGGACGATTTTCATCTCACGCGAGCACGTCGACTGTGATCTTATCGATCACTCGGTGAGGGTCAAGCGATACGCCCGTATATTTTGATGATTTGCAATATTTAATTGTTGATACTCGAAGAAAGTGCCGCATCTTAATTTGCATCTGACGGTGCCGCGTTATGTTGTTATCGCGAAACGGACACGGAGATCGTTTTCGATAGCATGACTCGATTTTTAGAGTTGGCGGTCCCACGATGGAAACTGACAATCGACAATCGACGAAAGACGATTTTATCGGCGTGGCATCTCTCGCGTCGCTAATTATCGCGAATATTATCGGCGTACGCCGAGCCGAGCCGACTCGCATCCCGCTGAATCATCGGCGCGGCTTTATCCGATCTTCGAAGCCCCGATGCACCTGCGATCCAGGCGGAAACGACGCATTCCCATCGCTAAGAAATCCAGCCACCCAGGAAATACTGTCCACGTACGTGTGCACAGCCAAGATGAACGGGAATACGCGTGAATTAACTATATACAAGCTAAAAAGAAGTATATGCGATAGATACACGTGTTGTGCAACAATTTACAATGTTGGTTTAATCTGGTTATCGTGTGTTGCTACATTTTTCGTATCTCCCATGTTAAATTGACAAAATATCTGATGTAATCATGCGATTAATCGATATCTCTGAAGAAGGATAGAGAGAAAGAGAGAGAGTAGTCCGATTAAAGATCGTGGCATTCTCGTTCGATGACGAAACGATCTGTGCTATTACAGGTGAGCGGGAATCGTCGGCATGCGCTATCAAAACTCGTCTGTTATTGTCCTGATGCGACCCTTGTCATCAGCCATCCTCGAGTATCGGGACTGGTGATCTTCGTACTCTTGATCACGACAATCGTATTAGAAGGATATGCAAAGGCAAATGTAAAAAATTTCATAGGGGATCTACGTTAACACGTTGAAATTCGATACAACTCTCGATTGATTACCGACTACTAGATGCGTCAAGTGCGTCGAGAACTGTGTTTCGATTATTTCGCCGATATAACATTCAGAAGAGATAATTTCACGATCGGTCGATCGGTTGGAGAGATCGATCTTCTCGCACCTGTGCAATCATCGAAATGTTTTCTCGGGTTATATTTGATCGCTCTTTTTGACAGAAATGTGTTTCAACCTGCACATTCCGTCTTTTTTTTTATTTCGTGCGTAAGCAAATATGTGCTTTAGTTTATTCTCGCAATTATTGATTCGATATGATGCGTAAAACCGTTTTTAATGCATCTTTCGATTCACTTTGTTGTCATTTCTCAGATAAACAGCTTGTACTTTTACTAGATTTCAATTACAATTCAGATTAATGTCCCACTAGCGCTTTTGTGCGAAAAACTGATTTTCAGATGTGCACGTGTGTGCAATAGAAGTAAATTAAGGAAGTAAATTAAGTTCCCTACTCTCTCCTTTGTTCCTGCCAGGCATCGCGAATCTTTCCAAATGGACGATGATTATTCCAAGAAAAAAAAATATTCGAATACGAAAGAAAAGTACTTTTATTTCGTCAAAGAAATTACGATGTATATTGCGATAGGAAGATGGAGAGAGATAAACAAGGGAGCGCGCGGGGAACGGGAGCTGGTTTTCGTAAGGTCGAGCACAGTTTTGACGATAACGAGCGGATTTGCAATCACGACTATATTGTGCAGGATCCTGCTGTTAGCTAACTTCAAGAGGGATGAAACACAGGCGCCCTGAGATCACAGAGCAGGAAGCTGAATGTAGGATGCGAAAGGAGGATGAGAGAGCGTCGCGTCGGCTTTCTGTTGCCGTCGCAATTGCTCGTCTGTGTTGTGGGAAGATACAAACTGAAAAGTCCAAATTTGCAAAATTATCGTAAAATTATTTTCTCTTGTCTTTTCTCGCATTTCCGAATCGTAATTCGTGAAAAACGTGCGACTTCCACTCGAAATTCACTCGCGATCCGTTAATTTTATTTAAAAAAAAAAATTGATTAGTCAAAAAATTGACGGATAAAGAATCGACTTTACTTCCTTTTCAAATTTCAAATTTTTCAAAAGTATCTTTCGTCGCGGTTGCGGTTACGAAAATTAAAAAATGCGAAGTGTCGTGACGTTGAATCAGCTGTCAAGATTTATCGGGCCAAGGCCGGCGTTACAATTTTTCTCCTTATCGCTTGTGCAACTGTTTCGTATGGTCCATGTAAACGCGGAGGCGAGATAGATGATACGTTTGTTAAACAGTTGCGTCTTCGGTTGAAAGGCAGCGAACCGGATTTTTATAACGTTCCCGATGTTTGCACAGCAGGCGGTTAGTGGTGCTCGCGTTAGTCTGCTTTCTCAAATTTGTATTCTTTTACGGGAGCTCTCGGGGACCCGGTGACAATAGAGCCATGTTTTCTGTCCGGGACCTCGTGGTGCACCTCAGCTCGACGTCGAATGCGAACAGATCCGTAGGTGATCATTCTAATGATAATAATAGAGGTGCTCGACCTCGGAAAGAGGTCAGAAAGTGGATTTCTCTCTCTCTGAGCGGTTTTGGGAAACCTGCTAGTTAGCCTCTTTAACGCGGCGTGTAAAATGTAGGCAAAGGACGATCAATAGGGATAAAAAGACGAGGGAGTATCAGGATCAAGACTCGACATTATTCGACACAGATAATCATCACGCCTATCTACTAGTCCAAGTGTTTAAATATCTGTAATAAAAAACCTATATTAGATGATAAAAATTATTAATTAGAATACGTATAATCTTCGTGCAGCGCAGCGATATTTTTAAATAAAAGCCGCGATCGGGGGAGGAATCTGGAAGCCTTCTAAGGCGCGTTATTAATTATCCAATTTTTTTCTTCGTTATGTTAAAGGATGACTGCACCGCTACAGTATATTTCTCGGTGATCGTCGACGGGCTCGGCTCTCGATCGCATCGATTAATGGCCCGGTACCTATACGAACGGCTCGTGCAACGAGCCGCATCCAGATCCAGCCGTGCCGTCGCGTTGTCGCCTTCGATTTGTTCGGCACCGATGGGGTGGAACCCCGCGGGTCTGCGTCGCGAAGAGGATATACCGGGCTCCTCGCGACGAAGGACCTTTGTTCACAGTGGGCTCCGCCACCGGAATAATTCGACTGCCATTTTTCTCGCTTTATGCCGGGTAAGCGTTACTAATGGCTCTCTCTCGTTCTCGAAGCAGCGCGAAGCACATACGAGAGGTAAATTTACGCGGTTACGCGTTTACTTTAGTTAATAAATAAAGGTGTGATTCTAAAATGTACGATCCATCGATGATGGATAAATTTTTCTGATATGTTCATTTTATATTTTCTTGAATTTTCTAATATTTAAATAAAATTACACAATAATGATTAAGAGGGAAATTTAAATTTCTCTTTTTTTATATAATTTATTTTAATTTTATTTATTTTTTTTTTATATAATTATATCACAATATGATAGTTTATCGATCTATTTTTTTATAGAGAGCGTTTGAGAAGCGGAGCATGCTTTTTCATGAATTTTACGAGTTAGCGGATAATAAAACATACGGCGACAGAACCGAAGACCAGTTTGACAGTTTCCGTGATGCGAGAAATTCATATTCATATTGGGCGTGGACATACGCCTGTGTGCTTCGTGGTTTAAGTATAAGGTATATATGAGAAAGAAGTAGAAATAGTGTACAGGCGGGATACAGGAGAGCAGTGATAAAAGCCGCCAGTCCATTCGGGGATGATTTACGACTCGGGTTCTTTGGCGCGGTGAAAATACAAACAGGTGTTCTTCGAACTTCTTCGAAAACTCAGAAAGAATTTATTTTATTCTATATAATTAGCATGAAATTACATTAAACGCCTCCTCTATTTAAAGCAAAAATAGAAAGAGATACCGGAGAATTTATTTAAAAAACTATTTTTATATTATTTTTTATTTAAAATATTATTGCCACGAAAAGGAATAGATTATATAATACAAGTATAAGGATTGCATAGTAATCTTGATAAATAAAGAGCCTCTCGTGCGGGGATGTGTACGGTTTGATAAATGCAAGGACGCGCTTTTTCCTGAATCAGGGGACGCCGATATCCGGATGTGCCCGGACTTGCAAACGAAGTTTGCGCGAAGACTCTCGGGCTCGGTAGGAGTTTGCGAATCACCGTTGAAATTCTATTCGGCAGTTTGGCCGCCGACAATAAGGTACCCCGCTCGCACGACCCACCGTTCTCTCCACCGGAGATCGTACCCTATCCACCAACACACACACACACACATAAACGCACACACACGTGCATCACCGTCTGCTCTATCCGCGAGGCTCGGCATGGGCGGGCATCATGGGCGGAGCTTATTCCACGATGTTCATCCCGGCTCGAGACCGCGTTCCCCGAGCCTCTCCGTGGCACCTATTATCACCTACCTATCTCGCAACCCCCTCGAACTGACACATGTGCAAGTTTGCGAGTTGCGTTCGTGTGTTGTCGCATTGCTATGATAGCTTTGATATTCTCTCTCTTTCTCTAGATATCGAGATATCGCATCCTGAGGCTGGAATCAAATATCTGTCATTTGTAGCAATTATTGTTATTTATATGGGATATTAATTTTTTATGATAATATATCGATGCATTGCTAGATGGTACGATGTCACAATTTGTCATGTTAATTATGCGACGTATAAATTTTAATATTTTTTATCTAAGCCTATTCTGTAGAAAAAAGAAATATAATTTACTTGTTATTAATATGCATGTTAGGCGACCGAGCTATCGTTAATGTGCGAGTGTTGGACCATCCCCACGCACAGGCAAGTATGCGAGTCCCATCGCGCCCATCGAGCGACGTGGTAGGGGCAGGAGCGAGTATACCAGTCTTCTCTTAGCATCGATCCGAGCAGGATGTCGTTCGATTCTTTGCGAGCCGTGCTTCCCGATACCCGTGCATCTGCGTAAATGAATGAGATTAGATCATCGGACTGAATCGCGGCGAATCTGTGGCATAAGTTAGTGGAGAACGTTTGCGACACCCGTTAGTACGTACGAGGACAGACGTGAGAAGAGACTCGAGGATTGCGCAAGGATAATGTAACGCGGACAAGTCGACCACCTGATTAATCTCGAAATGAAGAAGAGAAGAAGCATGTAACCTGGATTAATCGCAGCAGTGTAAATATGAAGGTACGTTTTTTCTCTTTTTTTAAATTGTCCGATGTAACTAAATAAATGTTTATATACGCAGACTTGAAATATGTCGAATATCACAAATTTCCCCCGGTTTTTTTAGGCAATTTCTGAACATTTTCAAAACATAAATATTTAAAAAAAATTAATCTTTTGAAAAAATATAAAAATATTAAATACAAATATTGTAAAAAATATTATAATATATAATAATATATATTTAAAAAAAATGAAAAAGTAGTGTGATTTTATACAAGCTTGAATCTAAGAGGAATACTTATGGCTGCTTGACTAATTCTCGGGTTAGTTAAGATAGAGATGTTCTAAAATATAAATATCGAAACTAAGATCGGGAAGGAGATCCAATGGATTACTAATGTACCCGGTAGTCCGGTAGTCCGTTCGCTCCGCGACGGGCCTGGGCCCCCGGTTTCATCTCCTCCACATTTTTCACTTTGTCAGCTCATCTACATCCTCGGCCCCGGCTCGTTGACGAATAAAAAATGGAGTCTATTATTCTTTCTTACCGCTCGCTGATTGCAGAAAGCTGATTCCAAAACGAGCAACGCTCACGAAAATGGAACTCGTCAGTTTGAAGTTGCACGTGGGGGAATTTTGTCAGATCTTAATCTTTTCTTAGCTTCTCTTAAGAAATGGAGAGAGAAAGAGAGGAAACGTATATACACGTGGCGCGAATTATTCATCTTGATACGCGTAAACGCAATATTTACGAATAATAAATGCACAGAAATTAATTCATTTTGCTCGATTATACATTTGTAATTCAACAAGTAAAGTTATTTCTTTTATTTACGTTAATAAAATGAATCCAACGTGTCCTTATTGACGAATAACCGACCAAAATCACAAAAATTTTCAACAGGTCAAGCTAAATTCGAGGCTGCCGTAAATTACCGCCTGACATGCAGGTTGGTGCGGTTTGGCTTGGTTTTGGTCGAAAGATCATAAATTTGAGCAGGCACAATAATGTCCCACCGTGAAGCCCGTTCCAGCAAAAGGACTTTAGTAGATATAAGATTCTTGTGTAATAAGCGGCGCTGTTATTCGTTCATTAACATCTCGGAAAAATGTACATGTATGTAATATTCCATTCTTAAGCTATTCTTTATTTCTATATTAATTCGTACACATTCATGCGCGCGCGCAATCATTCATGCGTTAATTCGTATGCTTGAAATTCGCGTAGATCTATCTTGATCAACGTTCGTTTGAACGTTTCTGTGCAACGTATCGCCTGCCGTTATTCGTGTAACTCGTTTCAATGATTTTTTTTCTCATCTCTCTCGCATGTCCTTTCGAGAGCTCGGGAGCTCTCTCGAGATCCTTCGCACGACACTTAAAACTCATCACCTAACGCGACGGTATTAATAAATCGAGGTATCGCGACTCTCGGCGCGATGGTGGTTTCCACACGCGAGAAGACAGAGAAAAGTCACGAGACATAAATCACGAGTGGGAAGTTCAGCTTCGCCTTCGGCGAGTCATAAATCAATAGCTGTCCGGTTGTGCACATGAAATGATTACACTGGTACACCGCGTGTAGAACGAAGCGTAGAACACGAAGCCTTTAAGTGGCAACAGAAGACGACGAAGCGGAAGAATCCTCGAAATTGGCCGTCGTCGTCGGTTCTTGGAGTCAGCTGGCCGATGACAGCTCCGATAATTCTCGCGTTTTTTCTCGCGCACGTCGAGAGAGGCATTTGTCCACCTCCGATAGAGTTTGGAAATGTCATCGAAGCATCTCTTGCGTATCGACGCGGGATTCGCGTAAGGGAATGAGAACGCGTAGGTCGCCAGAGGTAATTAACCCGTCGAGTATCCCCTGGGGCGAACGCACAATGATCCTCGCGTGCCAATTAATATTATCGAGTATTATATATAAACGATCTGCATAAACGGCCCGATGTGACAGGACACGGCGAAAAAAATCCGCGCACGGATCTGATAGGCGGTATCTTTGCGTTTTATCTCAAGGTACAATAGACGCCGTCGCGTTGTCGGCCTGCCATCGAATGCCGGAAAAAGAGTATCATCGATGCGATGCCGCTCTAGAACATAGAGATTGTTATATTAATCGCAGCGGGATGCAATATTTTAATACAGCCGGCTGTAATATAATATTTAATAATATACATTTTAGCTCTGCAAAATAATGATGCGGCGCGATCCAGTTTCAAAATTATCCATATCGATGATTTCGATCGAATCATATCGCGCAACAAACGCGAAGATAAACGTGTCACGATCGACGTGGGACTGCGTATACGCAATTATGCGAGCGATATGCGTCGTCGAGGCCACGACGGATCGTTCATCATTCGACTCGGCAGATCGTCTATTATTTCACTTTACCGAGCATTAATATTCGAGAATTCGGAGTCTTCCTAACCGTGTCGGACGAGTTTCTCAAGAACATCAACTCACCTTTTTCGCTTCGCATCTTTTACGAATCGCAAACTCTAGCGTCATCTCATTAATTATCACTTAGAAGTGACAGTAAGTTTACAAACACCTTTTCGCGGCGCTTCGTTAGAAGAGTTAAAATAGCTCATTAGCAGTTTCTTCAAAGTTTCATTATATATTTCGTGTATTAATAATAATAAAAATAATATTATTAATGTATTAATAAAAGTATATAATAATAATAATAATTAATGTAATAATATAATTATATAATAATAATAATTAATAATAATAATTATTATTGTATTAATATAATTATATAATAATAATAATTAATATAAATTAAAATAATTATATAATAATAATTAATAATAATAATAATAATAATAATTAATGTATTAATATAATTATATATGGAATTATATAAATATATATAAATATATATATAAATTATATAAATATATATATAATATATATTGTTGCTCTTGCAGACCGAGATGGAGACGGAGTCCGAGTGCGCGGGTGACGTTCTATGCCCGAACAACAACAACAATAATAACAATAACACCAGTAACAACAACATCGGCGTCGCGAAGAAGGGCGGCAGCGATAACGGATACGACACTATCGAGATGGATTGCGGCGGCTGCGGAGAGAGCGTCCGCGAACGCACCGTCCTGTGCGTGGGAGGCCGTACGTGGCACTCCAGATGCCTAAAGTGTTACGCCTGTGCCAGGCCCCTGCACGATCAGCACTCGTGCTTCCTGCGCGGCATGCGGCTCTACTGCAGGCACGATTACGCCTTGTAAGTGCAAATAGAATTTACATTTCGACGTCGCGCGGAGTCCGAGGGGCTCGTTAATCGCGTTTGCCGCGAAAGCGATGGAATTTAACGCGTCCTACGGGAACCTATGGAACATCCTCGGTCTTCATCCGCGACCGGGATGACTGTTCGATCGAGCTACTTGTTCCCTGGTCGGGGATTACGGGGGTCGAGCGTTATCGATGAGCCCAATAATATCCGGCTTCGGCGCCCCGCTGATGCGATTCGAGATCAAGTCGGCCCAAAGTTGGACGTTAAGATGACGTTTCTCGGCTACCGCGATCCATGAAAAGAATTGTCACGCGTCCGGACTTGAACAGACGATATTCACGTGTGACGTGTAAGCTGAGGCCATTAGATATCTTTTGTTCTTCGGGCACAGGTTGGCTCATCGATCGCGAATCATCCCGGCCGCACAGTCACGTGGCTTGAGAGTCGCGCGTGAGTTAAAGATAGATATTTCTACAGATAGATATCCACATAAGCGCGCGTTATATTGGATATCCGAGACGCGAGAGAGAGTCGCCATTGGGTGATTAATGTCTTCCAATGTAGTCTGCATCCTCGTCTTCTTTCTCCTCCGCCTCCTCCTCTTTCTCCGGCACGGACCTCACGTATAGCCGGCTATTCACGTCACCGCGCATTCGTGTATCACGCATGCTCACGCACAGCACGAGCTGCGAGTCACGTTGACGTCTCGACGTCTCACTGTCTCGCGCGCGAGGGGAAAAAAATAAATATTAGTTCTTATATATTCGCGAGATCTCGCTTTGGCTCCGCGCTATTTCGTCCTTCGCGCGTAATCAATCGAATTATCCCTTACATATGTATCTTTCATTACGTCTGCGATACTCGCGAGAGCATTTTTCCAGCTCCGTTTGCAGGCAAAAGTCGATCCCGAAGAGACTGAAGGAAAAAATCAACAGCCCTGGAGACCCCGCGCGATAGTTAATATTTCATCGGCGGTGAGGGAATATCACACAGGCTATCGTTAATTTATCAATGTCCCGAAAGCGGGTTACTTCGCGCTTCGTATACCAAATATACGCGTATGTGTATGTGGGTGCCGAGTCACTCGAGATGGGACTGCCTAGTGTCAGTGTTCCGGAGGACTGAGGAATTCGCCTCGTAAGGCACCGAAGCCAGCTGCGATCCTCGAACCGCGTTCCTCCTTCCCTCCCTCATCCGAGCGCGAGTCGCGGTGCTTCCTTTCAGACGAGCGAGGGAGCGAGAGAGGAGAAGAGAGAGGAAGGGAGAGAGAGTGAAAGAGAGAGAGAGAGAGAGGAGAGCGTGGTCTTTGAAATTAATAAATATTCACCCGACCTCTCGGCGAGGCACCTTTAACGCTTCTTCGACGCCGGGGCCTCCGATCCTTTCCCCGCTTTCGTCGCTTTCGTACGTTTCGACCGAAAAAAGAAGAGCCCGAACGTCCAGGTGATTCGTGGTCCCGGCAAAAATCGCTCTATTAGCGGTTTCCTCCGCCACGAGATTCCATTTCTGCCGATTCAGGGGACCACCTGTCGCCGCGTTATCTTCTCCATTCCTGCCTTCCATTTAAGGCCGCATACCTCGAAGCGAAAAAATACATAATTAAAGAATCGCGGCTCTCTGGTGTTCAACTGGAAGGCTAGACAATCGTGATTCTAGTGGAAAAATAACGTTATATAACTCGTCCAAAAGAAAAAGAAAAAAAAACGACGAGGGAAATGTAAGGAATTCGCGCTACCGAGACGCAATTAACCTGGCCTGCTGATATCATACCCCGCCGATCCTGGTCCGCGGGTTTCGAGCTCCTCGCAGCGTCGTATCGCGCGAAGTTCCTGAGCGAGCGTCTGACTTAATCCCCCGTTGACTTATAGGGCCCGCCTATGTGGAAGAACAAATGAATAAATTAGGGCGGGGCCGTTTGGTAGCCGACGCGCGCGTACGGCCCTGAAGATTTATTGATACCCAATACCAGTTCTCGTCGCCGCCGGATATGCGAGAGATTCCCCCGTCGTCCTTCTAGCCCCCGATGTGTGTTAAACCCTCGTTCTCCCGGCTCGAACGATGGGATAGGAAAAGGACGGCGCTACCATTTACCTGAAGCGACTCGTCGGCGACGGTGAGAAAATCTCATTTTCACCGCGCGAAATCTTGGTTCCTCCTCGGGAAGGTTCCTTCGAAAATTCCTCTCGCGAGATGAGAATTTTTTCGAGCGAAGATTAAATACCGAGGTAATATGTTAGCTATGGAACGACGAGATCGTTGTCTCTATTTCGACGCTTTAAAGAGTTATATATCGATTGGACAGGCGGAGATCGTAGAGAGTCGTTGGAGAGATCGGGTACGAATACTAGCTTCTAGGCGTGCCCTTTGCGATCACCATAACCAGTAATATCCCGAAAAAACATCGCGTCATGCGACGATGACGATGCAGACGCGAAGACTAATCCCTCCACAAGCTTACCATATTTTTCCATACAATAACGCCGTGGTCGATCGGTCGTTGATGCATTCTTCTACTCTCCCCGTCTATGCTCTTCTTTTTTTTTCCCTCCTTTTCCTCTTCTCTTTCTCTCATTTTTTTCCCTTTATTCCTGCATTTCTTATTTATTAATCTTTTTTCCTCCTTATTTCTCTCTCTCTCTCTCTCTTCTGCTTCACGATCCTCGCCAAATTCCACGTCCGTTTCTCTTTCGCGCTAATTTATCGATGATTATTTTTCTCGTCCTCTTCGACATTCCTAATATCGGATCCTCCGCTTGTTTTTCGTCGGCATAAATTCAAAGAGACCGAGTCATTTGTCTAGGGAACGGAAGCCGCATGACTGAGACATCGAAATAATCTCGACGTAATCTACTTCTCGAATCGTGATAGCGATCCCTGAAACGTGGAGGAGCCTCCGCGCCTTGTCGGGAAGATCGGCTGGCTCTCGAGTAGTATGTTAATGAGGACAGGATCCTGCCGCCGAGTCCTCGGCGCACTCGGTGAGGTCCCGGATGAACCTGCCGTCAGCGAGATAAAAATAGTTTTTCGCCCGTGTTCCCCGCGATTAAATCCGATACGCGGAGACTGTGTCTATTAGCGTCTATTCGTGACCGAAAAGGAGAAGGCCCGCGTGAATCGATGTATGATGAATGAAGATAAGCGAGTGATAAATGGTGTACACCGGTGTCGGCTGGAACACTCTTTGTCGATGATTACGCGCGTCAATTAATTTTCCTAAACTTCTCGGAGGCTTAACTTCGTGGATGGATTCGTCACGTCGCTCTTCATGTTCCTGTTCGCAGGACTTTTGGCGCAAAATGCGCCAAGTGCGGACGCAGCATGGGCGCCGGGGATTGGGTGAGAAGAGCCAAGGACAGGGTCTATCACCTGGCCTGCTTCGCTTGCGACGCTTGCTCTCGTCAGTTGTCCACCGGCGAGCAATTCGCGCTCCTGGACGCCCGGCTCCTCTGCAAGGCGCACTATCTCGACGTGGTCGAGGGTAACAACACGTCCTCGTCGGAGGACTGCGACTCCGAGCACGGTGGTAAAGGCAGCAAGACCAAGCGCGTGAGGACGACCTTCACCGAGGAGCAGCTGGCGGTTCTCCAGGCCAACTTTCAGATGGACAGCAACCCCGATGGCCAGGATCTCGAGAGAATAGCCCAGGTGACCGGCCTCAGCAAGAGGGTCACGCAGGTCTGGTTTCAAAACTCCCGTGCGAGGCAGAAGAAGCACAGCGGCAAGATTAAGACTCAGAGTAAGTTTTCTGTTTATGCGGGGAAAGATGCGTCTTCTTCAAGAATATAACGTCTATATTTTCGCGCGTGTTTGCAGTGCATCATTCGCCACCGATGCAACACCATCCCGTCGATCTGTACCCCAGTGGGGTGAACGTTGTGGGCGCTTATCTCGGCGGTTATCAGGCGAGTAATGGCAGCGAGAGTCCTGGTAGCCCGTTAACGCCACTCACCCCGTTGACGCCGCTCACCCCGACGACGCCGAACCACTTGCAGGCCCAATTCTGTCATCCAGCGGGATAACTTGATATGCAAAATTTGCTTTTTTTGCGCAACAATCAAGTACGAAAAAATACTTGGAAACAATCTCGTCGATCGTGTCTTGTACATACCGAGGAAATGTAAAATAAACGCGTCCATCGATAATATTATATAATATATATATAACGTATATAAAAACATGGTACAATTTCATATTTAAAGTTTAGACTAGGCTTATTTATTCCACAAATTTGTTGTAACAATTTATATTATATTTGCGATAGTGGATTGAATTTCTTAAAATTAAATGAGAAAAACAATCCGACGCTATTGCGTCGTTTTGAATTTTTGACGTGAATACCCTTATAAAGTTGTATATAAAAATGACTTGTAGTTTTTGTACATATATTTCCTGTAGAATACGAATATGAAAAATATTAAGAGAAATTCTGAAAATTTGATATCGCACTTTCGTCGCTGCAATATTATAAATCATATTGTTATTAATAAAGACGCTTTTTATTGTTACCCGATTGCTGCGATTATTATCCTCTTTAATTTTGTAGAGATCTCTCACAGTTAATTATACTCGTTAAAATTTAATTAGATGATTAAAGATCAATTACAGAAAATATATTGTGCAAATATTGGGAAATATTCAGAGGGAGATGATCGGGGAGGCAAAGAGCTTCTCTTCATTTTGTTCAACGTGTGCAATCGTATATATTTATGTATTTAGTTTACAATATTTACATCACAGTACATTCATATTAAATGTTCCTTTTAGGCGACTATCGAGATACTACGAAAGATACTTTCATTTCAAGCATTGCTACGGGATACGCGAATCACGTCTCCGGTGACGCGTATCCGTCTCTCTTTTACGCCTACGCTCGTCTTATCGTCCATGGAAGCGGTCGCCTTCCTGGTTGCATCATCAGGCACCAACGCGAGAGGAAAATGGTAGAGAGAGGACGGAGGGAGAGAGGGAGGGGGAGAAGATCAAGTACAAAATTATCAAACACAACCAAGAGGTAGACAGAGAGATCGATTCATAAAATACAGGACCAAGTCGCACACACTCACGCACATACACATACATGTGCACGCATATCAGACGCACGCACCTCTATTTATATTCGCCGATTTTTTTCGCGCGTAAACACGGAATAATATTCGCATCGATAGATTTAACACCGAGAGAGATATATGCGTTGCGAGTATAACTCAAGATCGCGACGATAAAAACTTCCACCTTGAGGATAAGAAACGATACCGGGGCTTGAGCTCGAGATGCTTCTCCGCGAGATGTATATCTCTTACCTCCGACACTTTTAAATCGATACGTGTTTATTTACAATACGATGTCGATGTGTCATTAAACCTCGTTCGGCATCGACAGCAGCATCGAATCTTGCGAGAGCTCGTCCATCGACTGTTCCGATCCTGAGGACAGAGAATCAACGAAATCGTGAATTACATCACGAGAATCTCTAATCGATTGTTCGTCAATCGTGGCGACAGTCCTCATCACGCGGAGCTTCTCGACACTTTGTAACGTTGCGAAAGAGAGATCTCTTACCGTGATTGTGATAAATGGAGCCCGTGGGACTCTTACACGTGGCCGGGCTAAGCTGCGGCTGCTGCTGCTGCTGATGATGCTGCTGATGTTGAAACGAGTATGTTAGATGTAAGTTGATGTGACGGCTGAAATCGTTGGGCGACGCGGTCGAGTTTGGTGGCGACTGATGCACTGTAAAAATTCCTGTCTTCGACACTCTTATTATAATTAATATTATCGTTAAATGCAGGCTGTGACAATTTTTTCGAGATGGAAAAGAGGAAGGAAGGACGGGACGAGATGAGGAGAAATGTGTTTACCACGCAAAATGCAGCTTACCGTGCTGTCCTTTCATCTTGCCCGTGTGAAGGTGCTTCTTCTGTCTCGCTCTCGAGTTCTGGAACCACACTTGCGTCACCCTCTTGCTGAGCCCGGTTACGTGCGCTATCCTTTCGAGGTCCTGGCCGTCGGGATTGCTGTCCAATTGAAAATTCGCTTGTAGAACGGAGAGCTGCTCCTCGGTAAAGGTCGTTCTGACTCTCTTCGCCTTGTTACCGCCCTTGTGACCACTCTCGGAGTCACCGCCTTCTGCGAAAGTACCAATTAGCCTCTCTTCTCTCTTCTTACCGTTACACGATCCACCTCGATCGTCAACCTCGTTGAAGGATATTTGTATCCATTCAATAATATAAATTGCAATATTAATCACGGTTATTTGAATAAATATTTAAGCAATAAATTTGACAAATAAATTATTTTCGCTCTTGCAGGAGGGATGTAAAAAATATTTCCTGTTTTTTTAAATTTCAGATTGTTACATGTGACTTGAAAAAATTGAATTTACACGAAATCAGTCGAAGGGCGAAAATTCGTACAGCGAGGTTCGCGCGACATTTCTCACCATCGGAGGACGTATTGTTGCCTTCGACGACGTCGAGATAGTGCGCCTTGCATAGCAATCGGGCGTCCACGAGGGCAAACTGCTCGCCAGTCGACAGCTGACGCGAGCAAGCGTCGCACGCGAAGCAGGCCAGATGATAAACCCTTTCCCTGGCCCTTCTCACCCAATCCCCGGCGCCCACGCTGCGTCTGCATTTCGCGCACTTTGCGCCGAAAGCTCTACAAACACGAGAAGCGCGACTCTCACTCTGAATCAAGTGGAAAACGCATAAACTGCGGAGGTATCTCATCTGCAAGCGTGAGTGCGTATCGTGACGTTTCGATATTTATTTCAACCTACGTTAGACAACCAATATAGTCGACTCGATCAACGACCACGAAGCGTAATGATAACCGCTGGAATATAACTCGCGGAGAAAAGAAGATACGAAGGTCGAAGCAAAGATAATCAGAGAGAGAGAGAAAGAGAGAGAGAGAGGAAGAAAAGAGACTAGAAAAGAGAGATATTCGTGTCGAGAAGCAAGCGGTCTCCACCGTGGCGCGTGTTTCGCGGCCGTTTATTTCTTCGGCTCTCATCCGTCCTCCCCCTCCCCCTCCCCTTCCCGCCCTTTTACGAGCTTCGGAAAAGATGTGCGAGGGAAGGCGCATCCTTTCTCGGGATATGCATACCTGCGCACGACTCGCTGGCACGCCACGTAAAATTCGAGACCCCTGCGTTTTAATTAACCCTTAGAGAATTACACAATATCCCCTTACATTAATTAATTAATTAAAATTGTACAGGTTGCGTAGCCTCGATATTCCGTATTACGATGTCCCTAATAAAGATCGGGCTCGCGTGTAAAATCGCAGCTGTCGCGGTCGATTCTAATAATACACATCGCGCGGTAAACGCGCGCGTTTATGCGAGCGATCGCTGTAAACAGTAGCCGTGTACCACGACCACGAACACGGGCATTACACGCACGTGTGCACGCACATAGGACGAGCGGCTCGGCGAGATTCGCGTCCACCTACGGAGGACGCGAAGGGACCGCAGGACCCCGAGAGGACGACGCTTGTTCCTCCTCGACGCGGAGCCGAGGGAGAGTGTCGCGGCCGATAATTAAACAACGACTAGACGGCCCATTAGCCCATTATCATATTCATGAACACGGAAAGTGCATCCGATCCGATATCCTCGGCCTCTCCCCGCGGAACCGAGCGTGTTTGCGAACGCATCTCCGGTATATATCGCGCGCTTTGAATATCTCTCGGGTTGCCACGCGACTACCCCGGTGGTCACCCTCCTGTTGCGGGGATGTTGTTGAAAAAAGTGTCTCCCGAGGAATAAATTCGGGGTAAATTGCACCTCTATCCAGCATCAAAAATATTTTTTTCTGTTTTTGATACACTCTCTTAGCTCAACAAAATGCATATACCATGAAATAGTTTCTCAAATATTTTTTAAGGATGTTTTGTACCTATTTTTAAAATATTGAGAATTTAATGAAAATTGTACAGAATGTCTTTACATATGTTTAGAATTTTTAGTACAATTTGAAATCGATTCACTAAAGCGTTCACAAATTATAAGGATTTTAATTTGCACCGAATTAACATGTGTTCTTATGGAAAACGTATAATCACGTCGATTCAAATGACAAAAACACATGGAAATAATATTCAGAATTTGTTTAAAATTTGCAAAAGTTTAGATACAGAGAAAATATTTGGTCAAATAATATTATACAAGTACTAACTGGTTAAAAAGATATTAAATATAATTTAATGTAGTTAATTATGTATCTATCATAAGGCGAAATTCTCTGCCAAAAGTTAATCATTTCGATTAATAAAATTCGGAATATTTCAGTAAAAACGCAATTAATATTAAAAAATACATCTCTGCAATGTGGCTAAGATCAAATTGTAATGTTGAAAATAAAAAATTATTCCACACAATTTCTCATATTTAAAATATGAGACACCAAAAGTGGATATTCGTCAATATTGATTTTCAGCTACTTTTTACGGGATTGTACATACAAAACATCCTTAAAATATTTCCTCCTTAGTGCAGAATTTAAAAACAAGGACAAAAATAGACGGATTCTGTGTCTCTTCAGATAAAGTTTCAATCTAATACACGTATCTTAATCCTATTGTCCTTTAAGAGAAGCGGCTAATTCCTTGTTCTGGCGCTAAAGGTGACTCCTGTCACGCCCACGGAAGCTAGAGAAGGATTTGAATTTCGAGTGACTCGTCCGCGATTATGACACGCCGGTTCTCCAAGTAGCCACAACAAAGAGGATGTCGATACGAGACAAGGAACGACACGGGGGCGATCTTAAGTGAAATCTTTACACGCGATACTTCGCTCCGTAAATTCCGCTCGTCTCTTTTCCCCGCTCCTTTTGCGCGTCGTTCATTATATCGTGCGCGAGAGAAGACGGGATGATTCCCCGGTTCTCTCCGAGTTCCTTGTCGGCGGCGGTTGTCGACGGGTCCGCGGGTCGTGTTCGGGATCCTGCCGACGACCGGGTCATCGTATGGCAGCATTACCTGGCAGAAAGCGCGAGTCAAAAAAATTACGCGGCAGATTCCTCCGGACCTCCCGCATACTCTGTCCCGAGAGAGCCTGCGTGTCCAAGTTAACCGACTAAAAAGAAAATAATCTTAGAGAATCGCTCTTAAATAATTAAAGAACGGTACCTACTTTGATTCTAGGGTGATGGAAAAATTTGTCGAACTCCATAGACGATTTGCTTTGATAATTATGCGAGAATAAACGCAATATAATATATATAAATTTGGTATATGCTTGAAAGACTCTCTCTTCAGTCGTATACGCTATCGCCAGATGCGTCCGGATAGCGATCGGATATCGCGACGTCCGATGTCAGGTTCGATTGGTGCAATACCCAGGTGACTGAAGTAACTGATTGACAGTTGGATAAACACATTGGGCAGACTTCGCCCGAGGCCTTCCGTACAATCGACGAGTCACCGTGGGTTCCGTCTACTTTGATCTCCACGACTGTACGTCTTACATCGCTATCGATGCGCATCGCGCGCGCAACAAAAATATCCCACTTATTCATTCGCGGCAACACGAACAAAAAGGAGCAGCCATTTCTCTCTCTTTCTTCCCATCTCCTTCTCATCCTCTTTCATCAACACATATAAAACTGATCGAACTGATGTAATCGTCATGCAAAGGAACGATACGAGTAACATTTATTATTTCAAGCGAAAGTGTCAATGGATAGTCGACTTACAGGGCATAGTCGTGCCTGCAGTAGAGCTGCATGCCTCTCAGGAAGCAAGAGTGCTGATCGTGCAACGGCCTGGCACAGGCGCAACACCTCAGGCACCTGGAGTGCCACGTACGTCCGCCCACGCACAGGACGGTCCGCTCTCGGACGCGCTCGCCGCATCCACCGCACTCCATTACGCTGGGCGACGTTTCCGGGCCGACGACCAGGCCGCTGGTGCCCTCGGGACAGGCGAGGTTCGATCCTCCGATGCCGCCGTCGCACGCTCCGTCGCCGCTCGTGTCCTCGACTTCCGTCTGCGTAATCGAGAATCATGGTAGAATCAATCTGACATTTTTCGCGAAATTTCTCCCTCGAAAATCATTTATACAGGGTGTCTCAAAACTCGTAATGTAATAAATTTTTCATGCAATACATCTTTTAAAGATAAATTCCTGGGATCAAAGAAGACGATTTTTCTTCAGCGAAAATGTCGACAAAAGCCATCATTTTTTGCATGTTGCCCGATTTTTGTCATCATATATCTTTGCAATTAAGCCTTAAATTAAAACTCAACTAAAGTAAACTCTATTTAAAATTAATCGAAGATTGTGATTTTGTTAATATTTTATTTCTACAAAGCTTAGTTTACGAAAACCCCTTATTTCCAATCACTTATAATATAATATATTCGAAAATTATTAATGCCTCGACATTTTCGTTGAAGAAAAATCTTCAGATGCTCCCCAGGAATCTGTCTTTAAAAGATTCATTATGAGACGTTTTAAGACACCCTGTATAACTGTTACATAACAGTTACATAAACGTTACATGTAACAGTTACATAACAGTTATATGAATGTTACTTGGTGTTTGCTGGGATAAGAATCTCGATGCGAGATAAATTCCGGCAGGAAAAAAACAAGGGAAAAATATATAGATTCTTTTTATCGCTTTCAACGTCAAAAGAATGAGGCTCGAAAACAGATTTACCGAGACCCGCCTCCCTTGTTCGAGAGTCATTTCGCCGATGACGCCGGGGGCTGCGAAAGCAACGTTAACACCCGGGATTTACCCGTAACAAGGCCGGTAACATAATGATGGAGAGACTGGTTGCTCGGACGGCCATTATGCGTCCCTATCGGCGTTACCCGGCCTCCGTGGAACCCTTATTTGGGGGAATGTTGTGGGGTGTTGTGGACAGGGTGCGGGTATACGCGTACGATCGTGAGAGGTGTCGGGGCGAGAACACGCATTTACCGCACTCGGGTGAGACACGGGACACGCGTGTCACCATATTGAAAAGGAACGGGGCTATCCGTCTCTGTCTACGGGGAGGACTCGAATCGCGAGTGTCGTTGGCTGCGCCAACGAGTCGCTCGCTGCGGTTACGTTAGCTCGCGGTGGGGTGCCTTTTGCGCTTGACCAGCTGCCTACCGGATCGTTCACCGGGCGACTTGGACAAACTGGAACTGCGTATATATACGCCTTGCAAATCCGATAAATCGCGGAAGCGCGAGATATCGGCGAGAATGAGATACGAGCGACGCGGGAAACCGGGGGACGAATAAATAGTAGGTGTAGTTACCTCGCGCGATTTGTATAGATCCAATTACAATGTGGTTGAATTAATTTATCGCGAACGTGCTTTCCGTCTAAAAGCGCGACGAGATAAGTGAAAGAGCGGAGAAACGCGATATCGATGCTGCTCGGCGTTTCACGCGTGACGTTTCCCGTGACGCGCGCAATTTATATTGACGTACGTAAAACGACGCGGCTACCCGGTGTATATCAATCCGAGTGAGAAGACGTTATTCTCGCGTTCGCATTTTGTAGGATAAAGTCGGAGTATTAGCGTTCTTAGGCGCGCATCCGAGAGTCATAGGTGACAATAATAACTCCGAGTCTCACGGGTAAAAGGCGGCATCGTAAAACGCGGGATTAGACTTCTAATGTATGCGCCTTCTCTCGAATATCAAAGAGACGCGAAAAGATTTGCAGCGCCGTGAAAAGTGAACTCTCGAGATTTTAAATTTGCATAGATTTATACAAGTTGAGGAAGCGATGATGATTCACACATTTCCTGTTTTGCACTTAACATACATTAATTTAACACTGATAATTATTGTCATCTCATTAGACTTTTATAGCTTCGAAATCACATCTGTTAATTTCTTAATAATTCCAATATGACTCTATAACCGTACAAAAGTATCTTTTCAAAGTGGCAGACATAATTTTTGCACGGACGTGCGTCGACCATCTAATAAGTAGTTTCTAAACCTCTCATAATCGGATTTAAAGATTTACCTATTCTAGTAATCCCGCTTTTACGGTGTTATTGACTCTTATTGGGAAAAAAGGCGTCTCGAGTACCTCGGCGACGAAGGGAGGACCCGTAACTTATATTTCGTACTCTTGTATTGAGTTCTCGTACACGCCTCTGTTTAGAATGGCCGTGAGGCCCCATTCTTATGATTCTCGAGTGGTTTCGGTTTCGGTTTCGGTCCCTTTTTCGATAGACACTACCATGGGTATGACTTTCAAAGCTGAAAGCCTGTCGACGGGGGGTACAGGCCCATAGGGGTACAGGCTTTCCGCCTTCATCGGCCCCTGCGACTCCGTGTCAATTTCAGTCCAGAACACGTTGTGTCCATTGAAACCGATATTTCTTTTTCCAGCGAGACTATTCTCCTAGGTATGCATTCGCCCATATAATAATCATAATACGATCTAGTACGGTAAAACCGAAATCAACCGACGATATCGCGTGATACGTACTCTTTTTCCATTTCTTACAATTATTAATTTTTTTTCTATTAATTTATTATAAATTATTATAAATTTACTGATAATTATCTTTACGAATAATATAATTGATAAATAAAAATTTATATTATTTTAAAATGAATAAGCAAAAGAATTCGTGAACCATAGAAAGATTTGTAATCGAGCTATCGAACTCTTTTTCTATTTCTCTTACAATCATTTTTTTCTATCAATTTATTATTATTGCAAATTTAATAATAATTATCTTTATATACGAATCATATAATTGGCAATAAAAATTTATATTATTTTAAAATGAATAAGCAAAAGGATTTGTGAAACATGGAAAAATGTGTGTGATCGAGCTGTCGAACTCTGTTTCTATTTCTTATAATTATTTTTTTTATCAATTTATTATTATTACAAATTTAATAATAATTATCTTTATACATAAATAATATAATTGGCAATAAAAATTTATATTATTTTAAAATGAATAAGCAAAAGGATTCGTGAAACATGGAAAGGTTTGTGTGATCGAGCTGTCATCTTTGAACTGATCGTCGAGTGCGTATTCGATGAATTCGGAATTATGTCCGGGAATTTCCTCGCAATCTCGACGCACGGAACGCAAATTCGTTTTCAGTCGCTAATGAACACGAGCGTTAATTAGAAACGAACACTTTGTAGTAGACTGTCCGGATGTGAGAGAAATGGCGTTATTATCTAATAGAATTTGCTCGCACACACGAATTCTCGTTAGAGGAATTTATTAGAGAGAAAGAGAGAGAGAGTTATGGACGTTGAATATTCGAGATGTGTAAACGTACTTCTCCACAAATTCACTATCGAATATTGTTCGATTGTTACCGGGCTCGGAAAGTCGAGTTCTTTTTCCTCGAACGTGTTACATAACTTTTGCCAGCTTTCTTTCTCTTTCTCTCACGCGAAATAAAACTTGATCTATTTATCTTCCATCGATTAGAGCGATGTTAAACACGAAGGAAACGGAATGCCATGCGCGAGGGAGACATCCCGGTGTGAAAAAAACGTAGGACCGATCTCGATCTATCTCGAGAGAGGGCCGAGGGAAGACTTTCGCTCGTTTCTTTCGCATCTACGGAACCCAGGTGACATGTTGACAAAGTGGCCGGCTACATTTGGGTCCATCTCGGCGAGCGGGCGAGCGATCGAAAATAATGCGTATCTCGAGGGTTTTTGTGTATCTCGAGCACGGTTTTCCCGGCGAAACGTCGAGTAGAGTGGGAAGGGCACGAGCCTCTCTTCACGCCTTCGTAGAAAAGGGAAGAGGATCCTTGCGCTCGCAGGTACAATAGACGATCCACCGATCCATTCGACGAGACATGGGATGGGCCCAGCCACTCGAAATCCATTTAAATCGCCATCCGATTTCTGGTTTCGCACGCCACATTGTCGCCACCGCCGTCGTCATCGTCTGTTCCGGTATTGTACTACAAGATACCAGCCGGGGGAAAGAAGAGATTCGTCTCACGATTAGCTCGGACCGCTTATTAACCCCCCGAGGACGAGGGACGTCGAACGAACCGTGACAATGGCGCTCGCGCCCGCTCCACATTGAATGCTTCGCGCTGCCCACGCGTGCGCGAATTGCCTTTCGTGAGTATCCTGCGTGACGGTCGTTCACGCCCGTGCGTACACGCAACACCCCCGATCTTAGTGTATACATCATGGAAACTTCGGCGCTCCGAATTGTGTAGGTGAAGAAGCCGAAAGTATGACGCAGAGTATTTCCTTACGTCTAATTAAAGACGAAAGACAGCAATATAGGAGCAAATTGAAATTATATAAAATTTCTGGATGCAAGTATCCTTTAATCATTGACGAACGTGAATTTAAGTTTGATTTTAGACCAGCTGTGATCGCGGCACGCGATCGAAACGCGTGTTTTCGCGTCACGCTCGGATTATCGCGTTATCGCGTTATCCGCGGAGTCGCTGTCAGAAGTGCAAACAATGTCGGCGATTTATCGCCGCTTGTCGCATTTCAAGGATTCAACAAAATGATTTATAAAATTTACTCTCTCTCCAGAGGCCTCCATTTTTCTCATCACCTCGTCAAGAGAATGTTGCAGTAATAGAAAGAAGCCCATACGCGAAAAGCGAGAGGTATCAATTACGTATTATGCTGAATTATACACGTATACATCCTGCGCAGCCTTAGCTAGGCGATAAATCCACTCTGAGCGAGGCGTGTCTCGCGATTCGCGTCTTGCATTTTTCCCTCCCTCTCCTCATCAGGCTTCGTCCCCTTTATTCATCTCGTTGCTCCGCTCGCGTCGAGTCGCGAAGATGAGAAGGCGAAGGAGAAAGAGAGAGAGAGAGACATTTGAAGAAAAAAAAAGAAGGAACCATACGTATAACTCCGGATCAGGCTGATGCGGCATTTTGCGCGCTTTACGCCGACAATTTACTGGACCACACGCGCCGCGCCATCCTATGAAAGGTCGCCTTTTCGTCCAACAATTCACGCGCCCTTCTTCCCGGCGTGGGACGTCGACGTGATCTTACGCGAATTTACGGTTTAGCTCGCGCGTAGGCACGCTTTACATACGCCTCTACCTACAGCCGGATGCGTAATTCATCTGCTGTGTACGTCGCGAGTTAGTTTATGCACAGAATGTAACAAGGATCTCGGATCCTCAGAAATCAGGCCATTATCCATAGGTTTGATATAGCATCTTGCCAAAATTTTACCCGTTTGTTATTCACAGCTTTGCAATTTTTTTACGTAACTTCTCTCACGTGTATAAGATTCAGTTATTATTATTATTATTATTATTTATTTATTCTCTATTAGTGTTATTTATTTATTCTCTATTTAAGTTTCAGGAAGTTTAAGGATTAATTCGAATAAGAGTTAGTTAAAAGTTTCGTCTACGATGTGATAGTTTGAAAAATTATCGAACGAAAATGACAGATTGATTGTCAATCAACGTTCATCAAATTTATTAAGCTAAAAGTGTAATGATTTTGGCTCATTAATTTTTTTTTCGTCGTCAAATAATGGCACGTCAAAGTATTTATTTAATATTGAAAAATATTTATCAATCTATTTTTAAAAAGTTTATATGCATACAACTCTCTTATGTGTTTATAAACACGCATTATTATAAACATTTTAATCTAAATATTTTCTCGAAGTGTCATCTGTTTTTCCTCGATCGCATTCTCACTGTATATTACATTACTTTGAAAGTACATTGAATTCAACATCCTTAATTTTCTACGAAATATCTCTAGTTTCTCAACGTCATATCGAGATTGATAAGCCTTATATTTGCATAACGTACCTTCATAATTTCTCCCCGAGAGCTCGACGAGGGAACAGACTCCGTAGACTCCTGGACCGCACTGGTTCGCAGCGAATATCGCTTCTCGATATCGGTTCACGGTTGTCGTCGATCTCCCGACATCGCCGCGGCACAGAGTCTCCAAGAGTCGCGAGATGTAACGAACGCCGCGCGAGCACCGCCGGCGATTCGTTAGTTAAGCGCCATGCGAGGAGGCGATAGCGACGCGCGAGAGGCGCACCATGACACCGCGTACGGGAGAGAAGAGAGTTGGTATCCGCGCGATCCTCGGCTACAATAACGTAACTCCCGGCCAGGATGCTGCGTCACACGTACGCTCGCTCGTGCGACGCACGCACACGTACACGCGTGCAATCACGCTGGCGAATGGGCGGGGCGGGCGCGCGGTGGGCGGCGCGGTTCGCGAGGCTGCGATTCGTCCGGTCCGTCGTCGCGGGGGAAGGGGGGAGAGAGTGCGTGAGGACACGAAGGTGGCGCTGCCACGCGGGTTCAATTCGCACGCGCGTCCTGTCCCCACTTGACGTCGAATCGTCCGCGCGGATGTGTCATAGGAAACGCGGCCGCGCTGATTGGCCGCGATCTCATCTCCATCCGCGAAAGAGAGCTCTCTCTCTCTCTCTCCCCTTCTCTCTCTCTTTGTCTCTCTCGTCGCCGCGAGACGACGTCGGAAGGAGGAGTTGGGGGTTGGGGTAGTTTTATCACATACCGATGCACACGTTAGTTTTCAAAAAAAAAAAAAGATATATTACGTATTGCATCAGCTGATTTGCGCGCGCGCGCAAATAGGTTGTTCATCCGCGAGCGTAAAATATTTTCTCGCCTTCTCGATGTAGAGTCTTGTAGAACTGAGGATGAGCTAAGGTTTGTAACGAATTATTAAGGTACTTTCTGGATCTTTAAACTGATTCTGAACGGGGCATATGTGTAAAATCCACAAACCGCGGGCGCAAATTACAGCGGACACGGTGCAGGCAGCGTCTCCGAGAGGAACGTTGATATGAAAAATGGTCGGCGGGCACTCCCGCGACGAACATAATAAATAACAATACGAGTCTGCCTACGGATACGGGGATCTGCATATAGGTCCTGGCCTTATACCTGAACTGCCGCGGCGCGTCATTAAAATTATTTATGAGGAAATAAGAATCCGAAGCGGGGGCCCCCGAGGTTCGCGCTGATGTACCCCTCTCGTGCTCTTACGAAGGCGCGCGCTTATCCCCCGATCCTCTTTAATGTCGGCTAACGTCTGTAGTAGTCCCGGTGTTGTAGGTAGATTAGTAGATTAAACTCGGCTGTTTTCGTTCTCGTTCCCTCTTTTAGGCTGCAACCGCAGCCGCGTGATAGATTGAACGCCCTTTTTGTATCATTATTTGGATAAGTGATTAATTTATATTTAATACTAATACGCAATATTATTTAATTTTTTACTAGATGCACGTAAGCTCGGAAAAAAGTCTGCAAAAATGGCGGCGTAAAACGTAGCGCTTATTTTAGCATCATCTCTATGTTGCCACTGTTATCATTGATAATCTCACAGCTATCTCCCGGTTGCTATTTGTAAGAAATTCGCATTATTTTCGCCTGTTGGCTCTCTACATGTTTGCTTGCCTTTCGCGCCCGTGTAACCCAATTAGCTACGCGCGTCTGTTTATTTACATAATCGGCCCACGGGGCATTTAACGTATCGATCACGTAATTATCGGGGCGAGGCCCATAGACCGGAGGCACGAAGCTCATTTCGGGCCGGTAAACTCGCGCGCGAGAGGCGAGAGCGAGGATGAAGAGGTAACGCCGTAGGAGGCGAGAAATAAAAATAAGAAGCCCGGGGAATTCTCAGCTGGGGGTCATTCCTGACGGAAGATTTTCGTCTCGGGGCTCCGTCGACGATCGACCACCTGGCCGTACATAGTTACACCTTGTAAACGGTCACTGTCTACCGCGATCCGGGCAATAAACGCGGCCGGAGCCGACTCGTGCTGGCTGGAACGTATACACGGAAAGCTATTCAACCGAGATTAATCGCCGCAGATTTGTCACGGACATCGTTGCGGGAACGGCCGCTTATCTCCTTCTTTTCTCTCTCATTTTTTTCTCTCTTCTCTCTCTCGCTCGAGCGCGAGACGGCGTCTCGAGTGATCGGCGTCGACAGCCGATCGGGTCGAGAGAAGACAATTTTCAGCGATAATTAATCTTACTCCATTGCAATCTCGTCCATTGATCCCGTCACGGATCACGGCAGTTTAACGAGCTCGTGTATTTGGACAGTTACCTTGGCAAGTGTCTTTTAAATCGTACACGAGAGATATTTCCGACTCGACATCCGCGTCGATTTCGGCGTCAAAATTTATTTCCTAAATACGGTTTCTTTCTTTTTTTTGAGCGAAGACGCGGCAATTGCGATCTTTTTTCACGCGTTAAGTCTTCATTTACACTCGCGATCGAGCCGCAATTAGTATCCCGCTGATTCTCGAGAAGTAGGTCCTCTCGCGAGGGGATCCTCAAGTGCGCGCTCTTCGTCCATTGTCCGCCGAATCGACGCGGCAATTTTGCAAACGACGAGCCTCGAGAGTAATCGCGCCATCGACGAGCGACGAGAACTCTCGTATGATCGAGAACTCGCGCTGTCAAGCGATACTAGAGGAGCGGAACCGCGCGCGAAACGCGGCTCGCACGAGGCTCGCGGGGGCCTCGGTCCGGACGAACCGCATACACGTGTATAAGACAGGCGTTATTAATGCCTCCTCGACACTCCGATACCATAGAGCTAACGATTATTTACTTCGAAATATTTATCCCGTATCTCACCGCGTGCGCGCCCATTATCGCCACCGCGTGATAAATATGCCCCGTGTGAAAAATCGATTTTATTGTCGGGGTACGCGCGCACACGCACATACATACCTACATACATGCGTGCATTCTCGCGGGCATATTTTCTCTCGCGCGCGAGTTAACCGCGAGTACGTAACGTTTCGACGCGAGCGCGGTCCATCGATGGACCAACGGATGATGGATACGCCTACTCTTGATATTTCGGTGATCAATAACGCGCCTCTCCCGGTGCCATTCGCGCCGAAGGCGGGGAATCATTATTCACCCGTGCAGTCGCCGGTGAATAAATAATTTACCTCGTCATACCAGCGCCATCAGAATATCCGACTTCGCAGCCCGGCGACGGCCCTTTCCCCGATCCTTTGTGTTATCGATAATAATAAAGGTATGCGCGCCGATTCGGCCTCTTCTTGGATACATCATCGAAAACGATACGCCGCGCGTTAGAGACGCGAGCGAGAAGTCTATCCATCTCCTTCTGTCCCCCCCTGCCCCCCCTCTCTCTCTCTTTCTCTCGACGTTCGACGGCTCGATGTGTGTCGAGGGCCCCGGGCTTTGCCGCGACTTTGAATGGCACGGTCGATTTATCTCCTTTACGCGAGACCGGACCATCAACGCAATCGGAAAGGCCCCGTATAAGCGTGTACGTTCATACAAGTATACATGTATATGTACACATGTACACGAGTGTGAATGCGTCGTTTGCTTATACGCGCCTACGAACGAAGGCTGACCGCGGTGGTCACTATTTGGGAGCATGATCGGTAGTTTCGATTCACTTTGGGACCCGATACATTATTATTTCCGACGACGATAATTAGTGCCTACTTAACGACCGGCTCCGTCCACGAGATGCATCGTTCTCAAAATTACGCGTCGAATAGAGTATATACGTTTTTCGATTAGTTTTTTCGCGCGTCATACTTGGATTTTTATTTAAGCTCGTCGCGAATTTGTCAACGCGACCCGCAAAGATGGCAATCGTAGACCGATCTCGCTCGATTCGATCGTCGGTTTGATTTATTTTTCAGACAACCACGTATTATATATATCGTCTCAATTAATATTAGCATGCAAGAGCATCTTATCTCGGTGCATTCGGACGGATCTATAAAGTTTAAAGCAGCCACATAAAACAGTCTCCGAGGTGGCCTTGTCTTGATCTTAGATTTACGCGTATTAAAAGGGAATTACAATATTAATAAGGCCTTTTTAATGGGCCAGCGGCCTTCATGTAGAAGAAACGTCCGCCTTCGGCTAGAGAGATCCTTCCTTTGAAACTCGTTACGATTTTCGGGGCCGACCGGGAACGAGACAGCCGTAAATATCGACGGAAATATCGTTTATTGTTATTCACACGCATTATTATCTCGCCGACGATATATCATCCCGCTCGTGTCCTCACTTGGGAAAATCATTTCGATATTATTTTTTTTCTTTCGCTTTTTCATCAGTATCGAGTAATCTTTATACTATTTCTCCTTCTGAAAATCGTGAAGTGTGCTTTCGAAAATTTGAATTTATAATATTTTAAGATTTTTCCGCATAAAAAAAATATGAAATAGAAGCGAGTGTCTCTTTTATATACGCTATAAATTCAACTATTCTTTTATCGTAAATTTTAAAGATTCCAGATTCTAGATGAGCAGGAAAGGCAGCTTTATATTAGCTATTAATCGGGTGCAGACATCGACGTTTCAAATTTTAATCTGGCAATTAAAATATGTTAAGCAGCTACTTAATATCGTATGCGTATATGCATATAATATAGGGCCGGGCTCGCAGTATTTCATATTTAACGCGAAACCGTAACTCGCCGCGGCTGCCGCATCTCGCTCTCCGCTCTTATCCTTTTTCTCCCTTTTTGATTTATAGGTAATTTATAGCGGCTCTCGTAGTCGCCGCGCTTATTCGAACGCACATGTGCGAGTAGACTGTGTATATTACGCGTGTGTGTAGATCAGTCCATAATTTCGATGACGCAGATAATGGAAATAGATCCGGAAAGGATTCATCTCCGTGAAAAAGAGGATAAATCATAAATATTTCGTACACACGTATACGTTCGATTGAAATAAGCTCTGGCGTAAAAAAGAAATCCGCAGATTGAAATTCACTAATTATAAGTGTCTAAACAACATTGGTCTCCGCTTTTTAATCTTTTACTATCTCATCATTACTGATGCTGTGTATCGCTATAAAGTCCATCGAAATTCTCCGTTTTAATAGCGCGAGCGGTGAATCGACTACGCGATATATGTATAATTATCATTAATGGTCATAAGACAATCAACGTGCCTCACCATTCTGTAATGACAAGTAACAACGTGCTTATACGAGCCGCTCATTTTTGCTCGACGCAAGGGACACAGATGCCATACGAGCCGTTATTAAGTGCGTATTTCACGGGAAACGTTTTTACGAGCAAAAACCCACGGGCGCCATTATAGATACTTGCA